GTGTGTGTGTGTGTGTGTGTGTGTTTGAAACAGACTTTGGACTACACTCCAGGAACCTGGAGGAGAACCGATGTCCATCTGGAGAATCCAGAGTACCACACCAGATGGTTCTTTAAATACTTTTTGGGAAAAGGTCAGTGCTTCTCTGCTGTGCTCTGTTTAAAAAATGCACTCACGCACAGAGCTAGCATGACATAGATCAAGAAATGCCTCCGTATTTGGAAGCTTGTTATCAGCCTTGTCCTCATGCACCGCTTTTCATTCATCTAACCATATCCCCACTGAGAGTCTTAACTACACTTCAGCCCAATACGTCACCCAAGGAGAAAGCTCACTAAGGACATACAGTATCACTAGACAGACAACGCTGCACAAGATAGCACAATTAAAATTTTACCCTTAGCTTCTGAAGTGAGACTGTGCAGCAACCTAGCAACTGTGAGAAGCTGTTAGGAATTATTAGTATCGGTCACCTGTCCTGCACCTTTTTCATAATTTCTCCACCCACATTATTCCCACTCTGCATTACTTCCGTAGTCTTAAAAGCTCATTGCTGAGGTTTCCCTGTAATGAGTTTAGTGAGGAAGATCAGCTGAGAGGTGAGGTAAAGAGCAGAGATATTTGTGAAGGAAAGTTAAGACAGGAAAACTATCAGCTATGGAATAACAGAATAAGAGGCATCTTTTTCCTCTTCTGGCCAGGGTCTAATCATACTATGGCACGGGCAGTTTAAAAATGAGCCACGTCGCAAGAAATTTGGCTCGACCTGTTTTGGACCGCAGCTGAGCCATCTGTGTCTCACAGCCCGGCAGAGTCGACTGCATCGCACAAAACAACACATTATGAACTCGAGGCCAGCTACTTTAACACAAGCTTCCTGTTTGATGAAACACCCACAGTGGCACACATCTTACTGATAAGAATAAATCTCTCTGTGTCTGTTTCCCTGTTATACTCCATTAAATATGACAATAATTCTTGAGGCTGCTCAAAAAGAACGAGGCTCAGTAGTAAGCCTATAATTGGAACACAGCTTCATGTTACTGCTTACCTTAAGCTTAAAAACATCACCGATTAGGAATAAACAGAGCTTATAACCAAATAGAATAAAAGAGACACACACAGGAAAAGAAAGCATTAGCTGAGGTGAGGACGAAGAAAGAGGCAGCAGAGAACCTGCATCTAATTGGGTTTGGATGGCTGTTTGGCTTTGTTTTGGATATGTTACCCTGTCAACCAAAGAGGCAGAGGCATGAATGTGAGACTCTGCTGCGATCTGTGTAACTCTAGGTTTTAAACGAAAGAAGAGAATTTAATGAAAGAAAAGGCAGGAAGGAAGACAAAAAATGAAAAAAACATCAACAACAAAAGACTAAAATCACAGATAAAACAGCAGAGAGATGACTGGGCCCCGCCTGGAGGTGGAATAACAGTTCAAGTAGATAGCTTACTCTGTCAAAGCTCCATCTGTCAAAGTCTTCTTGGATTTTATGAATCAGTGGGGTAAAGCTGAATTTGTATTCCAAGGTATAAGTCCCAGCGTCCCACTGTGTATGGCTGAAAAGCAGAATCTTGGTTTTGGACCAGAGGACTGAGTAGCAATCGAACTTTCCAAAGCAGTTGATCAGAGTGTGGACTGACAGAAGTGAGGTTGTCAGATTAGTTAATAAAGAAGAATGTTATCTGCATATAAACTGAATTTTTGATTATGTAAATTTGTTGCTATACCTATGATGTCATCAGTCTGTCTTATGGCTGAGGCAAGAAGTTCAATGAAAAGTGCCAGAAGAGATGATGATTATCCTTATCTCGTACCTCTGTTTAAATTGAATGGGTTGGATATTAGTCCATTAGTGATTACAGATGCTGTTGGAGTGTTGTATAGGATTAGCTGTTTATGTAAGGACCAAATCCAAAATGTTATAGGAGGCAGAAATTTCCAGCTCAATTTATCATTTTTTTCCTGCATCTAGAGTAAAAATTATGGCAGGAGCTTTGATTTAATATCCATTTTACTATTGTATAAGTTAATCAGTTGAATAATCTTGATCTCTTAATCTTAATCATATCTGTAAATGATCTCTGTCCACCATAGTCCACCAAAATTATGTGGGTACGGATGCAGAGAAGAATCCCTTCTACCTATCGGTGGTCCTCTCGGACCAGAACAACCAACGTGTTCCTCAGTACCGAGCCATCCTCTGGAGGAAGACGGTGAGTTCACTGTCTATGCACCTAGCAGCAGTAATTTTAAATGCTTCACATCTCTTAGACATTCAGCATCAGTGTTGGGGAGTAACGGAATACATGTACCGCCGTTACGTATTAAAAATACAAAATATGAGTAACTGTATTCCGTTACAGTTACCGTTTAAAAAGGTGGTATTCGGAATACAGTTACTTTGTTGAAGTAAATGGATTACACGGCGGTCTTTTCCTGTTTCATATGTTAGGCTGCCCCCTCTCTATTTTTGGTAATTCCACGCCGGTGGAAACCCAAACAAAACATGCATTAAGAGGCTCTAAAGCCTGTGTCTCAATCTCTCGGCCCATGTCACCCCTACTTGCATAATGATGTGAAAAAATATTTTCAAAAATTATTGTTCAAAAAATGATTTAATATGAAGGCAATAGGCAGAGTGTTATTGGCATAGCCCTAAATAATGTAGCCTCATGGACAGTGTAGCCCAGTTGTAAGTAAGCTATTAAGACTCGACTGTACACTGTGTTCGTGTTTTCCTCCCAAACAATAAGTTCTGTTGCAGCAGCCTTTCAACGCCTCTCTCTGTCTCTCGTTGGCAAAGTTGACCCAGACAACAAAGTAAAGCTAGTTTTCAGCTACGAGCCCGACACAGAACAGACGTATTAGCCAGAGGTCCCTTTTGGAGCCATGGGCCTGTTTTATATGCACGTGGAATAGTTTTCTATACGAGATCGCTCCAAAAAGTGCAGCCTTACCTAATGTCCACCCTACTGCTACTCATTTTATATTAAGATTTAAAAATCTGCTGGTATTAGTATGGCAAATAACCTTCAGTAATAGTACTAAATCACACAGCAATAGTACATTCATGTAGTTGTAAAAAGCTTGATAATATATTAAGTAATCCAAAGTATTCAGAATACGTTACTCTCATTGAGTAACGTAACAGAATACGTTACAAAATACATTTTGGGGCATGTATTCTGTAATCTGTAGTGGAATACATTTTAAAAGTAACCTTCCCAACACTGTTCAGGATATATGCAATACATTTTTTTTTCTGAGTAAAATTATATATAAGGTTTTATATTTTTGCAGGTATCATTAATTGAAAGCATTTTCAGCAAACTGTATCATATGACATGACTGCATTTCATTGTATTGTAAGCACTTTCTCACTGTTGGACTGGTAAATGCTGAGATACCTACTTTTCAATAGTTTCATCAAATAGCTGCAGCCCAATGAGATGATCAACAAAAAATCATCGTGTGTAATCTTAAAGAATAATTCACAAACATTTATTCTCTTTAAAATCTTAATCTGTAAAGCAAGTTAGATAAATGTAGCGGCAGTCGTGGAGTCTAAATTCCCATAAAATATAAAGTCTTTCCTCCAACTAAAAGTGCAGGTATTAAAAGTTTTAGCACACTGGTGCAAAGATTAATCCTAAACTCCGACATTTTCTGCTTAATTAAACAGTTGTGGGAGGTGTGTTTTTTGTTCCTCAGATCTAAACATGGAAAAGCACAAAATGTGCAAAGTCCCTTAAAAATAGTCTTTAAGGCACTATGCTACTCCCCTTTTGAGTCACCGTTTGTGTAGGTGTGTGTGTGTGTTAGAGAGAGATTCATGATTATTATGGTGTGCATCTAGTTCTGTGATTCAGTTTCATGACCAAGATAGCTTGGATCTAATTTTGCCCTCCAGCCTCGTCTGGAACCTGATTAGGGTGATGCACCTCCGCTGCCTGATCACATTGATTTATCTTGTTTCTGTCAGACTCTAACTGGTACAGGATGTTGTTGTTGAACAGAACAACTTTGTCTTCTCTTGAATTGCTTCTATTTAATCTTTTAAGTCCTCTGTAATTATTCTGCAAGTAGTTGAAAAATCTCTTTTGTGGTCTGAATTTCTAAATACACACACCAAAAAATGTACTAATTATTTCCAAAATGAACAGATGTATAAAACCCACTATGTTATAATATGATAATCACTGATCTGTGTCACTTTTGTTCACACAGGGAACTCTGAAGATCTCCCTTCCCTACAGCCCAACAAAAACACTATCAGTCAAGTCCATACTAAGGTGAGACGTGCAGCTCTGACCTTTTAGTCACTACTCTTTATACCCTCTTTCCAATGCATGAATGAGATTTTATATTGTTGTTTTCTCATTCTACAGTTCAGATGTAATTATTTGCATTGCACAATGTAACTGAACTCAGAACAAAAGAAACATTCAAATCAAATCAAATCAAATCAAATCACAGCAATACAAGGTAAAGATCTACAGCAGTAGAGAAATAACCCCAACAGATGACCCCCTATGTGCAAGCACTCGGTGACAGTGGGAAGGAAAAACTCCCTTTTAACAGAAACCTGCAGCAGATGGTTGAGGGGGAGGAAGACAGGGGAAAATACACACTGTGGAAGAGAGCCGGAGTTTGACGTGAACTAATGATTAAATGTAAAGCAGTCAGTCAGAGAGTGAAAAAATGTGAGAGACGAAAAAACAATCAGTGCACTATGGGAAGCTCCAAGCAGCCTAGGCCTAGTGCCGCATAACTAAGTTAAAGTTTTAAGCCTAATCTTAAAAGTAAAGGGGCTGTCCGTGTCCTCTAGCCAAAGTGGGAGCTGGTTCCACAGAAGAGAGACCTGAACGCTGCATCCCATTCTACTTTTAAATAACCTAGGAACCACAAGGGAGCCTGCAGTGTGAGAGTAAAGTGCTTTATATGATGGATTACTAAAAGGTCTTTACGATTTTATGGGATCTGATTATTAAAGACCCTGTATGTGAGGAGAGGGTTTTTAATTCAATTCTGTATTTAACAGAGAGCCAGTAAACAGAGGCCTATATGGAAGAAAATGTTGAAAGAATATGCAACATTTGTATAATTTCACCAGAACTTTACAAATATTTCCTGGTAATTCTTTTCCCTTCAGCATTTTATTTTCAGCAGCAGATGTCATCAGTGACTGGTAACAAGATATTAAAATATGTAGAAAACAGAAGGTTTGAGATTTTAAATTACTCAAGGCTAAGTTGCTGCACAAACTCTAAATGAATAGAAATGGTTCAAGCTAGATGGGAAATCCCCTGTATCAGGTTTTAATGAGTGTTAACCTTTGGGCTGTTTGTCTTTTGTCAACCCTAAACACTTGGGGTTTTTGTCTCTGTTTCTTCCACTCCTCCTTTTTCTGCCCCTCCTGCTTCTGCCTGTACAGTGCAATGAACATGGACAGGTTTGAGAAAGGCCCCAGGGAAATCCTCAACCCAGAGATTCAGAAGGTGAGAATGACACCAGCACAACAGCAGGCTCTTAATGAAATATAGCACCGACCCATTTCATGCCAACCCGGATCAGCAACATCTAAACTTCATAATGTCCTTAGGCTGTGTCATCTCTAGCTGTAGTGCTGGTCAGTGACAGTTGTTGTGTCCTCTTTCCCCAGGACCTGTTGGTGTTGGAGGAACAGGAGGTATGAATATGATATGTTTTTCATGAGATAATTTAGCATATCTGCAGTAATCCTGGAATTTTCTGTCATTAATACAGTTTGATTTTCTTTTTTTCTAGTGTTCTGCATGTTTGAGTCTATATGTCTCTTTTATATGCTGAAATGGTTGCATGTGTACAACTACAATTGTTCTTTCAAGTGTTATGCAGATTAATGTTTTTCTTTCTTGGTCATCAGTATTTAGCCTTTCTTGTTACCTTTTGTGGATCTTTTGTTTAATCTATTACATGTTATTTTACACATCTTAAAAAAAAGTATAATTTATTTTGCATTTTTAATCTCTAATCTAACTCAATTTTCTTTTAGGGTTCTGTCAACTTTAAGTTTGGTGTGCTGTATGCCAAAGATGGACAGCTCACAGATGACGAGATGTTTAGTAATGGTAAATTCTGCTATGCTCGTTTATTATTTAGTGTTCAAATTAAAGACTGTATATTAAAAAGGACAGTCACTGTGACATCAACCATTTATGAGTGTATTATCATGTTGAAGCTTAAAATGAACAATTAGGTTGCTGCAATCCATCTTTGGGCGTCATCATTTTTGGTCACTAGCGCTAGCTTGTTTAGCCCTTAAACGCCGACAGGAGTGCCCTTAATTCCATTTGCGTAACTATTTTTAAATCCCGGTAGACCTACAATCAAATAAGATAAGGCATTTTGACATGAAAACAGAGGAGTTTACTTACATATCATGCATTCAACTTGTCCCTGGCCGCAGTTTCCTTCAACTAATGGGTTTGCAAAAATAGCGTCAGAAGAAATCCAGACACACGCTTTGCAGATCTGATCAGCTGTCCATTGCACTTCCTATGCTGGAATAAACATCATCACATTATCAGCATGAACTAACACGTCTGCGATTTACTGCGAAAACCAGAAATTATGTCATTTTTGCAGGAATTTTTCTTTTTTTTCAGGGCCATTTAAAGATCCGCTGGTGCTAATGAAAGTTATGTTTGACGTTGTGCCTTTTTTACACTTAGAACTTTGATTTCACTGTTGGAAATAGTTTTACGGAAGAGGATTAGGGCTACTGAAAGAAAAAAAAAGTGGGCAAGTCTTTCTTTTTCTTCTTTTCCTGAATTCTGAGATTAAAGTCAGAATTCTGAGAAAAAAAAACAATTCTGATGAAAAAGTCAGAATTCTAACTTTTTCATCAGAATTATTTTTTCTCAGAATTCTGGAAAAGGAGAAAAAGAAAGACTTGCCCACTTTTTTTCCCAGTGGTCCTAATCTTCTTCCGTATAGTTTATTTTGATGCACATGCAGGTTTTTTTGCACAATAATATCTATTTTTGTTTTTGTTGCAGTTTACAAAAAAATGTAAAACTGAAATAATGAAGTCCAAATGAATTTCCTGTGGTTGAAAACTATTTTATTCAACTTTTTTTGCATTTAAAATTTTGAGGGCTACACCTTTGATATTTCTGTAACTAGAAAAATGCGTAAGCAAAACAAAACCGATTTTCAATTTCTTTGTAGTTTATTAGAGTTTTTAGTAATTTATGTAGTTACTATGGACTTGATACATACATATTATTCAAATTTGGGATATAAAGGTTGTATTGATGCATAGCAACTTGAAATGCTCTTAAAAAAGGCACTACAGCATGTAAAAATATAGAAAACATAAAGTAAGCTCTGATGGCCTTGTTAAAGGATAGGCTTAAAACAGTTAGCAAGATGACAAGACTTTCTATAACCTCATTAGTGTTACTAACCAAGCTAGCTTTTTCACCTTGTTTACAGTTTTCATGTTAAGCTAAGCTAAGCTAAGCTTAGCATATAAACTTAAGAGTGGTGTAGATCTGGTCACCAAAAGTGTACTTTTTCCAAAATGTCAAATTAAAATAAAAAACACTACATCCCACAATAGAAGATATCTGCTTAGTGACTTGTGTTGTTGCAGAGACGGGAAGTGAGAACTTCGACAAGTTTCTCAGTCTGCTGGGTGATACCATTACACTGCAGGGATGGGCAGGTTACCGAGGAGGGTTAGACACCAAGAGTAAGAATGTGCACCGTTTGATCACATAACAAAACATCACATTCAAAAGGAGGCCATCCATTAAGGGTTTTTTTTCCTCTGTGTTATGTTATACTGTTTTTGTCTGCAGATGACACTACAGGAATTAAGTCCATCTACACAGTGTATCAAGGTCATGAGCTCATGTTCCACGTCTCCACTATGTTACCCTACTCTAAAGAGAACAAACAGCAGGTGCGTTACAAGTGTGGTTGTACACATTTGGTCTCTGTTTTTTTGCAACACTTTTAGTGTTTTCTCGATTTCATATATTTTTACATCGTTGTTTTTTTTACAGTCAGTCACTATGTCTCTTTCATCATTGGTCTAGATTAGGGGTGGGCAATTCCAGGCCTCGAGGGCGGTGTCCTGCAGGTTTTAGATATCACCCTGGGTCAACACACCTGAATCACATGATTACTTCATTACCAGGCCTCTGGAGGACTTCAGGACATGTTGAGGAGCTAATTTAGCCATTTAAATCAGCTCTGTTGGTTCAAGGACACATCTAAAACCTGCAGGGACACCGGCCTTCGAGGCCCGGAGTTGCCCACCCCCTGGTCTAGATGAAATATTGTAGTATGGATACATGAGATAAGCATTTGTACAAACATTCATGATGTTCAGAAGAATCGTTCTAATAGTTTTGGTAAAACCTTGAAGTTGTGGTTTTCTGTGAAATATCTTTTTTAGATTTTTAGCCAACATCAGCTGATGGCTCCTGATACCCTGCCCCATTCTGCGCAGGGGTTTTAATGATCTCTTTCCCCACCTCTGACTTTATATGTGTTAGACCACCAGTCATAAAACCAACAAAACACAAATATTTTAAAAATCTGTCAAAAACACATTTATTTATTAGACAGTTAACAAACTGAATCCATGCACCATTTCAGCCAGCCCACTGGCTTTCTCTCAGAAGTTGGAAATTAGTTAAGCTTTAAATTCAACCTCAATAGCTCATGTTTCCATTCAGGAATGCAAGTAACTCACTGTAATTTGGCATCTTAATCAAAAAATAATAATTTCCTTTAATATTTTACCTGTTTTTTTTTTTGAATATAAAACGGTACATTTCAAAATCCATCAATAAAAACAATAATTATAGTTTAGCATTAAAAATATAATTTTGATTACAGAGCTTGCTCAAACTGATGCATTAACCATTACACAAACAAATAAAAGAAAAGAAACATGGTAATGACCAGTTCAATCACTTAGGGCAGCTGTGACATAAACCTGACATTGCACTCTGAAGGCTGGGAAGCCATACACAGCTACTGCCTGTAGCACGTCTCATTAAATACTGAAATCATACAAAAGTGGCAAAAATACCAGGAGACTGACAACACTGTTGTTCAGTACTCCTTTCAATGTCTATTTCTGTATCTTTATGTATACAGTTGTTATGTATGCATAAGGGAGTGCTGTGGCACGAATGCAGTAGAATCCTGTTAGAATAGGAGGAGAAGAATAAAAAGAAATGGGCATCGTTGCCTCCTTCTGAAATCCCAGTTTTTTTAGGTATGATTTCAAAGGGCTGCTGCTTAGCAAATCTGACACATCTTGAGATATTCGTTCTGGTAGAGATTAATAAGGAATAGTCTGTGCCTGTAGTGCATGTGGGTGCATGACTGAGAAGAGCTCCAGTCACACTTTATATCACACCTTAGTGTTGGTGTAATGTAAAGTCAGATTGTTTTAACTGGTGAAGGTGTTGTGTTAATCATATACAGCAATACTTCTGTATTGTTTGATATGAAAGAAATATATTTTTACTGGTAATGGGACCAAGAGAGTCTCAGACTAGACTTTGGGCATTTTTACATGATTGTATAGGTTTAAAATCTGACATTTTGGCTTAGTTTTAGTCCTGGAAGAAAAGAAACTCAGTAAATTTTAATAGATGATCGGTGAATTTAGGACAAACATACTGCATGACACAAAGTGCATGCATTTGTGTAGTCTCAAAAACACTGGTAAAGTATTTGGGTGGCTGATTTGACCTAGCAAATCACAGGAATAATGCTTCTATAGCTCCAGAACCTGCCCAATAATGACCATGTTTCAAAGTCAAAGAATTTATTGGTCATCATCTGTAAATGCAGTTCTGTATTGCCATTTATTAAAATAATAATTATTGGTAGATAATTCCTGTGACACATAAATTGCAGGGTGCCGAGGTTAATTTGCCGTGTTTTTCCTTATCTCGGTGTCTCTCTTGTTCATCTATTCTGTCAGGTGGAGAGAAAGAGGCACATTGGAAATGACATTGTTACCATAGTATTCCAGGAAGGCGATGATGCCTCGTCATCCTTCAAGCCGTCTATGATCCGATCACACTTCACCCGTATCCTTCACATGGACAGCGACTGTCACAGAGATTAAGTGGTAGCCAACAACATGAGCCATGTTTACACCAGCTTGAGATAATGAAGTCACATCCACATCAGAGCAGTGGAACTGTATGTGTTTGACTGTATGTGGTTTAATTGTTTCCTTTACTTTCACATCTAGATATTTTTGCATTAGTTAGGTACAATAGCCAGAATGACAGTTACAGGTGAGTGTGTTTGGTTTACAGAAGAGTCGATGAAGTCACTTGATCTGCGGCTTTTTACGATCTCATATGTGTGCTCTCTGCCGCAGGTTAAAGATCTTCTCAGAGGAAAGCGTTCCACTGTTTGGACCCCCTCTCCCATCCCCGCCTGTATTTACCGATCACCAAGAATTCAGGGACTTTTTATTAGTCAAATGTATGAAAGTGTTCAAAAAAAGTTCATCAGATATGCTGACATATTTGCGTCCCCTCTGTCTCCCTTACACTGATCTTCCCTCATCTCCTTCAGTAATCAATGGAGAGAAAGCCACACTGGAGACACCGACGTTTGCCCAGAAGCGTCAGCGGACCCTCGACATGCTGATCCGCTCGCTCTATCAAGACCTCATGCCTGACCTGCACAAGGTACAGCAGCGTTTCCGTCCACGACTCTGCTGCAGAGACCCGTTGTTGTACTTTTTTTTTGTCATCTATCCACTCTTCTCCTCCTGACTCCTCCTTGTCACTTCAGTCGCTTGCAGCGACTGGAGTCGCTGCTGATTTGTCCTCTGCTGTATTCCACTGCAGCCTCCGCATACTGCACCACACTCCACTGGATTCTGCTGCAATGCTGACTTTCTCAGCAGGGCTCTCTCTCCTCACATCACTTTAGTTCTTATATCTGTTGTTTTTTCCCCTCCTTTCACTGTTGCTCCTAATACAGCTTAGTTCAAGCAGTGCACTGTTCACTCTTGCTGTTCTCACTTCACTTCTAAGACCATTGTTGATTTTCTTTTTCTCTCTCCGTGTGGCTGCATGTGTGCACACATGTGTCACATTTTGTGCGTTCCATGTTTAGGTTCCCTTTTCTCCCCAGAACATGTTAAACAGACGGTCCTTCAGCGATGTGCTGCCCGAGTCTCCAAAGTCGGCACGTAAGAAGGAGGAGGCACGCCAGGCTGAGTTTGTCAGAATAGGGCAGGTAACTAAGTACTGAGCACACAAAGACATGTAAAATAGCCTCATGTGATCTGTGAGAAACACCAAAGAACATGTACACATGCAATTCTGTGCAAGTCTTAAGCCACCTCTCATTTTCATTCATTTTGCTATGGGAGATAGGTGCAACAGTTTATTGAAATATGTGCAAACATATATGGAAATACAGCATATATAAGAAAACATAGTTTGTACAAATTTAATGAGCTCGAAAGTCAATATTTGGTATTACTACTTTCAGTCTGAACTCTCTCAGGCAGTCCTCAGGAACAGTTCTCGGATACATCAGTTGCCACTGATTTGTGGTCCAGTTCTTGTGTTATTTGACATAAACAGAGGGAGGGCCTAAAGACATATATCTGCTGTAGATAGCTTTTAGGTTTGGCACTTCTTTGGTCCTCCACTTATCCAGTTTCCTCAGATGTTTTAAGAACAAACTGCACACCATGCCAAGAGTTTGGCTAATAGTTATTTGGGAATCACCTTGTTGTTGCAAAAATGCTATTTTATGCCTGTCAGACTGTGTTATCATTAACATTTTTGTAGATTCACTGAAGAAGTAGGAGCAAATTAGAAAGAAATTAGAACAGAATTAGAAGAAGAAAAACAAACTGAAAGTAGTCTGAAAATAGTCAGGTAAAAGGACAAAACTGAAAAGGAGAGAAAAAGCTGCCAATGTCCAAACAAAAGCTTTGAAAGATGTTCAGAAAGACTAAAGAGCTGTTGGTCAGCTCCATATATAGAAATCGTGGTTTAGTATTGTAGAAATGACATTGCAGACCTTGAACAAGTCAAAGTATTTTTTTACATGATTATTGTTCACAAAATCAGCTTTGATCGGCTTCTATTGTAGTGAACACTTCAGACTTGAGCTGTAATCAGAGGCTTAATTCAGAAAGAGGAACAAATTGTTTTTCTGTCTATGCTGAAAAACATCATTGAGCTTTATACAGCCCTATACACTCCCTTTCTCCACCCTGGCAATATTTGGGCTTTTTTGGTGGGGGCGTATTTACTTTATGGGTCATGTATTTTTGATATAATTTCCAGGAAACTTTCCAAATGATTTAGCTACTCAAAGAAATTAAAAAGGGTGTTAAATTTTTTCTCCTACTCATAAGAGAAAAAAGTGCTTCCACAGTTACCAGCTTCTTCTGTTTGATGTTTTAAGAAAAGTAATAATTTGTAAGGCAAGTGAAAAGTAAATGCTAATCGGAGTTGCCTGGGACGTCAAACAATAATCCAAAACTAAACAGAAAAGGTACCCGAGTCACTTCGGTCTGGTCTTTAGAAATGAAACTGCCTAGCATGGGTTCGTGTATTTTGCTCTATTCTCTTTGTTTCCCTCTAAAAATGCAAATGTAATGAGTGCTGCCTACCACTGCAGGAGAAACTACCCTCTCTCAGTCATTAATGAGGAAGCTCTTTGTACTGATTGGGTTTCAAAGGCTGAATGAACTGAACACCTGCTTGCAGACGGATAAAGAAGGAATAATAATCTAAGAAGGTCACTGTGTGGCTGATATACCAGATATACTCACACTGGGAAAAAACCTTACAAAGCACCATACATGGCAATGAACCCGGATGACCATTTTTTTTGTGAGGCTGGGAGATAGTGGGTATTTTTGATGTGATCACTCATACAGTTTCAGAGTAATGTGACCGTCACCATGAGTTAAATTATAATAAATCAATAATTGCCCTCATAAACCGAATACATCAATAATTTTACTACAATTTGTTCTTTTTTTTTTTTTGATCAACTTGAAAATCTATCCAAAGTCCAAAGGTTTGAACTGAGTAGTACTAATAATGCCTTCATCTTCACTCATTGTTTTATAATAGTCTATATGAGCCTTAAAAACTAGACACTAGTTATAACAGCTGTACCCTGTAGAAAAAACCTGTTGGAGGAAATTAGAAACCATTTATAGTCGACTCTAAAAGAGCAGCTGTTTATTAATCTTAGTAATTCTCTCTTTTTCTCTTTGTTTGTTGTCCTTGTTTCCTTTTCTTTACGTAACTGTTCTATCTCGTTTCTACTGTTCTCGACGTATAAATACAAAGCTTAGGTATCGACGTGCTCTTCTATAAAGCATTAAAACAGTGGAAGACTAACATCTTCGGTCATTGATTGTTCAGTTATTTTAGGGACAAGCCATTTGTCAGCTAAACTGACTCACAGTGGGGTCAGTCACTGTGTTGTGCACGTAGTACACAGTGATGTCATGTTCCCCATTAATGTCTCATAAATCTGAATATGATTTCTCATGGATCTGTTCTGAAGGATGCTTTAGTATGCTGTACGGCTAAGCCACCGCAGTGGTGGTTTGTATTGATCTCATCATCTCCAGATTGCCTGTTTATGCAGGCATGGTAATGCTTTGTGCAGCTTGGATTGGCACTTTCAGTCAGATGGTTGCAGCTTGCACATTTGTACGAACTGTGTTTGAATTCTGAAACGGCTTTAACCTTTGATGCATTATGACTTTTCTTTTTGTACAGTTACCTTCTTGAGCCGTCTGTCACAGATCTCAGAGCCTAAATAAGCATGAAAAACAAGCAATGTCAGGCCAAATAGCAGTAATAGAAAACAGCATGCGTATTTCAGCAAGTTAGGGCTCATTTATCTTGCGCAAGGTCCACGAGTGTGAAAGCCGAGACGTTATTTAAATAACAGATAAATGCCATAAAATGCAATTTCCTCCACCAAGCAGAATGTTGGAGAGGATATAAAGTATCCAGTGTGTCATTAAAAAACACAGAGAATGACTGTGATAGATGCTAGCTCATTGGCAAGCTACCTGTGTACAGCTACATGATGGAGCCCAAAAGATAGAAAAATACATAGCAGTTCATCAAGGCCTCATAATAGCCACATATAACATCAAAATATATGTTTTAAAAATGCCCCTTTAGTAGCACATAGATTGATCCTGTTTATTGAAAGAACTCAATTTCAGTGGCTGAAAAAGAACTACTTAACTCTTTACCCCTAGATACCCTGTTAGAAGCAACCCTCTGATTGGTTCATGTCATATTTCAGCCTGCCTATTGAACAACATGAGTGGATGTGCATCAGAAATGAGTGAGGATGGTCTCTATTCATGCAGGTACCCTAGGGAAATCCATTTATTCTAATGGTCATTGAACCGCATCCTTATTGATATTTACTAAGGCGTCAAAACTTGCCATTGATGATGCAGAGTAGATCGTCAGATCACCTTAATGGGGAAAAGAGTTCAAGAAACAGAAATATCTCAAAAAATGTGTATATTTGTGTAGGTCTGAACTTTATTTTTCATTCTGTCCTGCCTCATTTGAGGTTGGAAAATACAGAGTAACTATAAATCTGTTTATAAAAGAAATCATCGTTACCGCTAACGACCACAGCGGTAAAATGCCACCTTCTCATCGTGGCAACAGCGTGAATTTTACGCTAACATTAGCTACATGGGAGCAAATCTTGATTTCAGATGTCAGACACTGTGGTGATGCAAGACTTCAGACTTCCATCGGTGCAGAATTCAGAGGTGTACGCCGTGTGTCATATCTGATGCCGTTTCTTCCCCAGGCCCTCAAGCTGAAGACCATAGTGAGAGGCGATGCGCCAACTAGCCTCGTCACCACAGGCTTGTGCAGAAAAGAGGTGAGGCGCACATCTTTAAAGCATCTCACCGCCTTGATCTTAATACTTGAAAGAACCTTTGAATTTTCTGCCATTACAAAACAACTTCATGTTTGAAATGTTTAAAAAGCACTTAATGAAACTGGGGGGGGGTCAAATTTATGATTTATTTGTAGTCCTATCAAACCAAGTGAATATTAATCCTATTTTGCGCTGTATCAATATGTGTGTTCCAGCCATGGGAGTCCCAGTTGTTCTGCAGCACATTCCCCTATGATATCGTGTGCGCTGACTCCTGGGGTCAGTCAGTGCTGGTTGCCACAGACGCAGCAGGGGTCATGCTGCTCGATGGTGAGGTCACTCTAATCAATACGCCCTGTGCCATCTAAATTAAAGCACCCATGCATAATTGTTCAATACTCAGCAGAATGTCGAGAGCAGCAGCTAACATGATGATGGTAATGATGTTGTCCCTGTTTCAGGCCCTGATCCAGCAGGGTTAGGCATTGGTGAGTGACACAATCAATATTTTCTTATTTAAAGGCTCTTTCTTTTTTTAATCCCTACTTGGGGTGGGGATTTTTCTTTTTAATTTGAATCTTTCTTTAATCATGTGATTTGTGACTTGTCTTTCAGAGCCACAGAGCCTTCCCCCAGTGCACGTGTTTGACAGAACCATGGTGGTGAAGCAGATGCACGTTCTCGAGCCTCAGGACCTGCTTATCACCCGCACTGACAAAGGTAGGCTTAGACCACTGGGAGGATACTGCTAAGCACTGCCTCCCTGCACATCAGAGATCTCCTGTCATCCTTTGAAATCCTCTTTTTGACTCACAGCACTATTTGCAGCAGATTGTCTTTATTTTTGTTCTTTTTCTTCACCTTACATTTTATCTGTCTTTTCCTGTGTGCGTTAGTGTGTACACGTTTGCCCACCTCCACTGGTCCGGTGAAAACATCGATCCATCGCCGAGATCTGAGGAAGCTGACCTGCACAGAACGAGTCCCTAAAGGGGTTCTGTGTGCATGTGTATACAGAAGAGTGTCTGTTTGTCTGAAGAACCACATAGACTGTGGGAGTGCAGGGGGTTATAAAGTACTAAGAGATATCCAGACAGGCAGACAGATAAAATTAAACACAGAGGGTGACTAAGATTCAAAGGACACACAAGTAGTTCAACCGAGACGTGGCTGTGTACTAACAAACAGCAGTTGGACTTGTCTGATGTTTGCTTTAACTGTGAAAGAATGTAAATGGTTGATCTGCAGATGATTAACAAGTAGGGATCGTCCAGGTTTAATAGTCATTATGCGATGGCAGGCATTTGTCACGACTGTGTGTGGGCTTTGATGAAGCTTCTGCGAGTGCGCCAGCTTTAAGAAGCCTTCTAGTAATTCTCCTGCAATACCACGCCATTGCATGGCCGTGGGAGGATGCTAAATAAGAACTAGCTAATTGAGGGTAGCCTTTGTGCAGAAAAAACAGAAGAGCTTTTTGTTTTGTTTCCAGGAAAGGATGCTCGGCTTTATGTGTTCAGACTCAGCACGATCAAGAAAGGCCTGGAGGAGAGGCAAGTCATCAGGGGCAAGTGCGACAGCCGGGAAAACAAACTGGAGAAAACGAAAGGTAACGCACAAGATCTGCAAGAATATGCACACAGTTGCACAGAATGCAAACCAATCCTCACAGTGAAAAAGGTAAATACACTTATGCAAGATAGAAAAATCTGCTTGAATTTGACAGAAGTTGAAAGCATCAGATAGTTCCCCATCCGAACACCTGTGATAAATTTTTCCCCCTGTTAATACCTTTAGGTTTATTTGAGGATAATATGAGACTACAAAATTGCTCTTTTTGTCAGAATCCTTCAACAGCAGCTCAAGTGTGAAATAGACATGCATGCTTAAATTCAAGCCATCATGAAAATAAATGTAAAAACATTTAAAGAGACATTTCCAAGACATTTAAATGTTGATACATATCAGCTACCTAGCTTAATTGTTTCTGGCATAAAAGGAGCCTGAAATGTACTTCATACATTGGTCATTCACGACTCCTTGGCTTTAAATCTATTATTTCCCCCTGCTGGTAATGCAACTTAAGCATGTGGTGGACTAGTGTGTCTATTACCCCTTAAGGTGCTTTAAATTGTAAGGTCAAGATGCTAAAATAACACAAATCAGGCAACCCACTATAAGCAAGCATTCGGCAACAGTGAGAAGGAAAAACTCCCTTTTAACAGGAAGTAACCTCCGGCAGAACCAGGTTCAGTTGGGAGTGAGGGGAGTGAGACAGGAAAAAAGGCATACTGTGGAAAACAGCTAATTTGATGATGAAACCTTTTACATTCAGATCAACGTTAAAACCTATTTTAAGACAGATTGGATCGACTGATAGCATCTCGCCATGCTCCTGTTGGTATAAACAGGAGATAAAGAAGTTTCTACTTGGGAACCTACTTCTCCACTGGCCTCTGGCAGGTGTTGCTTCCTATCACACTCCGATGTAGCTCCAGAGCCACAGCCACCCCATAAATGTGGAAGAATGTGGTGGCTTAAGCAACCAGCACAGCTTTAAGTAAAAAAGTAATCTAATTAGCATCTGTAAATATATAAACTTCTGCAAATTAACACATTTGATTGTTTTGCTATCAATTGTATGAATGTGGAAATGAAAGAGCGATTCAGTCAGCTGCGTTAGGCACAAACCTAGGGGAGGAGTCAGAGAGAAACTCTGGGTTTGTTAAAGAAAATCTGCCAGTGAATAGAGTCTGTGAATAGCCCAGGGATTAGGGAATCCTCATCTCAGGGTTAGCAAACTCTGTTTTCTGGAACAGGCCTGTGCTTCATCATATTAGGCGCAGCCAAAGCCACAGTGCTGGCCTGAGATGGACATATGAAGAAATCCATGCCAAGCTGACAACAGCTCAATGCAAGTAGAAAAACTTGGAAAACGAGCTTTTCGAGCAGATTGAAACCTGAGCTTTTGGCTTACAGACATAAAAAATGTCTTTGAGCTGTAAATATTGTTCATCTGTGCAAATGTTCCTAAAGAAGTAAACATCTACATTTCTGACCTGTTGAAGGATTATCTGAATAGGTTTATGAGGTTGTTTACAGGGTTAACAAGTATCTAATCAATTCTGAAGTACAACCTTGATGAATCTCCTTTTTACAGTGTACACACAAATACACACACAGTGTTATAGCCACTGGTGTCATGCCAGCTGTCTGAGCGGCATGCATTGATCTGCGGGACGATGCCAGGGAACGACACCTGCAGCAGCAAACATCCATTATAGTTTCCATCTCTTTGTCAGCCTCCCCTCTCATCCACTTTGTCCTAGGTTGCCATTTGTACTCTATTAACACCCACCACGGCTCAGAGCTGAGGATAGTAGCAGCCATCAGGAACAAACTCCTCCTCATCACCAGGAAACATCCGCGTTTCAGCGCCGTCGCCACAGGAGCGGATTCTCCAGTGGAGGAGTTTCAGTACATACGGGTAAATCAAAGTCCACATGAGCAAAGAGAAGGTGGAAAAATAGCATATGAATCAAGCATGTACATTGTATCCAATACCCAAATGTAATGGGGGCGAAAAAAGAGTCTAATTATCTATCAAACAGAGGAGGGTGAAAGAAGAACGAAGACAGGAGTGTAAAAGTAAAGAGTGCTAATGTTAACCATGTGTACCACGCTCCCATTAGGAGATCTGTCTGTGCGACCCGCCGGTGGTGATGTCGCTAGTGGACGGTCCAACCGGGGAAAATGATAATATGATTTGTGTGGCCTACAAACATCAATTTGACCTGATCAATGAGAGCACTGGAGATGCCTACCGGCTTCATCACGCAGAGGCCAACAGGGTGAGGCACACAGGCACACACACACAGACACACATATTAGCGGCTTTCTCTTTGCTTTCTTGCATTTCTATGTGATGTTTATTGAAGCCAAACAGGACTGAAACCTTTAGTTAGCGGCTTTATTTACCTCCTGATTACCAGCCTGCTTGGGTGAATCAAACATTGTCATTCACAGCCATCAGCTGGGGAGGCGAGAGAAGGGAGAAATGGATGAGCAGGCTGTAGGATGAACAGCTGCCTTAATAAAGCATCTCATTCTGCTTTCTATGTAGAGAAGAGTAAATCTGTAGCTGACATGCAGTGTATCTTCTGTATTGCCCTGAGGGTGCTGACCTGACATTATTTGTTAAAAACAGTGTCTCCTATTTGACCTTTCGCCTCTGAACCATCTTTGATTTCACTAAACTGACTTCTTTGTGCCTGCAGGTAAATTTTGTAGCGGCCATTGATGTGTATGAAGACGGGGAGGCAGGTCTGCTGTTGTGTTACAACTGTGAGTGCCCCCCACCACCATCCTTCTCTTGACTCCAGACATTTCAGATGTTGTGTAATGTCAGCTATCTTTTCCTCTGCTACTGGAATAAAAATCATTGCACAGAGACAGCTCCAGAATATTAAGAGTGAGGGAGCTTTTTATCCCTCTGCTTCAGCTATATAAAAGGACAAAAGGCTGTCTGCCCTCTTCGAGTCACAATAAAAGGCTGCTGTCGATCGTGGTGTAACATAAATACCTTTAACCTGAATCCTGTGTGTCTTTTGCAGATATTTGTTACTATAAGAAAGTTTGTCCGTTTAACGGCTCCACACCGATGATCCAGTCCAACACCTCGGATTTCCACTTCAGCTGGAACCAGATGCCCAATGCTATTGGTAGGTTGCCACGGCAACAGTTCTCGGGGCCCCACCCTGCCCATTGCCGCTGAGCTTTGTGTCACCATGGAAACGTCATGTGTAATCACAAGCGTCCGACTGGCCCAAGTGATTACTTGTGCGTGTGTTTCTGTGTACATTTTATTATTAACACAGAAGGTGATGAAAAAGAAAAAAAAAGCTGGTGTTAAACCTGTAACCCTGGCACTGCTCATAACAAAATGCTGCCCCTCTGGCCTCCTGTGCATCCGTAATGTGTCCTGCTTTAATATGCACATACACACTAAAGCCAACAGTGCAGAGTAATTTTCATAATTTAAAAAAAGTAATCACACCCTTTTGATATAGTATGCTGGGTCAAAATCTATACTTTTCTGTGTACAGTGGTTCCTCGTTTATCGCAGTAGTTACGTTCTAAGACCATTTCTGGTGAGACTTTGCTGAACAATAGATGGATTTGCTGGATTTTTATTTCCTATTTCTTAATGGCATTGCTTCCATATCAGATAGTCTCCCATGTCTTCTTGTGTTCTCCACTTGTCTGGTTTCCTCAAATTTCTTTAAGGAGGAGATATCTAATTGAATCCTCTTTTTGTCGCAAATTACAGAAAGTCTGTCTCACTGGAGACAAAACTATAAAGAATTAGGCACCACCACTGAGGCACCCATAGTACAAGCATGGGTTGGGCGTTTCTGCATATATATTTAGCCAATAATCTAATAGTAATAATTCTTAGTGAAGCTAATAACTATATATTTGAAGTATTAAGAAAGGTCAACATTGCTTACATTTTTTGCATTGCAGTCATACTTGATTCAGTGGCTTCCCTTTGATGAAGTACTTTTTCTTATCCTCATGGTGTCTTTGCAGTTTGTGCATTTCCTTACATCCTGGCCTTCACCACGGACTCCATTGAGATTCGACTAGTGGTCAATGGCAATCTTGTGTACACAGCAGTGGTCCCGGAGCTGCAGCTGGCTGCTTCGCGGGTCTGTATAAATGACAACATATCACACCCACTGAACAGGAATCCTCAAGTTTGGGAATTTAGTTTCAGTGTCAAGCTTCACTCTGTTGTAGAAGAAGATGTCTGGGAGCTCTCATTTCAATCCATCTTTATTATCCCTGTGGGAAATAAGGCTGGTAATCTGCATGGCTGCAAAAGCAATAATACAACTATGATTTATACACTCTGATAATTGCAAACAGAACAATGCGCCTGAGATCCAATGATTCATTCTGATTCTTTGTTCTTTCTTTTTCACCTCCTGCTTCAAACCTTTCTGTTTTCCTGCCTTCTCTGCACGTCCATCATTTCCCTCTCATTTCCCTCTCTGCTTGCATCTGCTTTTTCCACCCGCAGTCAGACATTTATTTCGTTTCATCGGCTCCAGTGAGCTCAGCCTCCAACTGCAGTTCGAGAGACACCAGTTCCCAGAGTTCCCCACAGACGCCCACCGGCTATGAGATGCCCATGTTCCCCTCGCCGCTCGGTGATGGTAAGACCCACGCAGGATGTTTGACTTTGGAGTCTCTCTTAGCTTCAAGCGCTGCAACATTTGTGTACGTTAGTTCAGGTTGATAACGTGCAGTTTTCTGTGACAGTAAGTTTTTCTTTAATCACTTCTGCCATCATCTTTTTTTATGAGAAACATTATAATGTCCTCATTGCTGGGTATTTAGAGTAGCAGTAGACGAATAAGTATCCTGTCAACGGGCGTTTAACCCTACAAATAATTTTACTTACAAATGTGGTTACTTTTATTTATTACCGACCTTCTTTCTTACAATTATTTCAGAGAAAAAGTCATTCATTCAACAAATTTTATGCTTAAAAAATTACTTTTGCGGTACTTAAATATGAGGTAGAAAGACTTAGGTGCCTTTGTTTAATTATCTTGGTTACCAAGCCAAAACAAAAATGTTGCCTGTTGGTGTGTTCAAGGACCTACTCATAATCTGAAACTTTGCTTTAGATTAAATTTGCTTATCTATGTTGAAGGGCCGGGATGGGATGTCAAAAACATTTTACATTGTGAACCATATACATCCCACTTTGATCTTAAGTGGGCCGGACAGAAACCCTTTCTGTTAGTGTAAAGAACTTTAACTACACATTTAATCCCTGGAATAGTTTAATATAAGAAAAAGGAGTGCAGTTTCAACAACACAGCTCAGTTTTTCTATATGATATAGAAATGTTGCTGTTGTAAATAAAAGAAATCTGGAAAACCTTTGGCTTAAAGTGTAAGAAATGTGTAAAATGGCCTAAATCATTCTGGTTCTGTCATTGCCCTTTATTTGTAAACCCACTGGGGAAAAAACAAAAAGAGAATTTCCTGTCGGTTAATTATTCATTTATTCATATATTTGCTTTGGTGTATTATGCCCATGGGGAAGGTCTTTATCACGCTCCAAAACCTGTGAAAATATAGTTAAAACTCCTTCACATTTTTAAAATTGCCCAGTGGGTCACATTGGAGTCTGTGTCTAATTCCGGCCCAATTCTGGCCCCCAGGCCTTATGTTTGATACCTCTGCTGTAGGAAACAGACAGATAAGCACAGCGAGTATTGCAGAATATGCCTTCTTTTATTTCATTTAAACACTGTCTTTTTAAAAAAAAACCAACACTTACAAAGTGTTATTCTGCCTTGTAACCCCCGTGACTCCTCTTTGTCATTTTTATTGTTTATTTTTCTAAGATTTCTTTTTTAAGATTGACTGTGTATAAAAATGCTGTAATTCCTGAAGCAATATTTTGTTAGATCTCTTGAACTGAAACTGAAGGTCTGCACTTCAGTCACATCTTGATTGTCCAACATGGTGATGTATAGAGGGAAAATTACAAAACTGTCTAAATACTGACAGATCTGGCTGTAAATCATATTTATTCTACTAAAGTTTCACTGCTTATTTTCCCACTGGTTGTCCACCACACTCTCCAGTGTTTCTGTCTCAGACCTTTTTTGTTTTAGGGTTGTCACCAGGCAGTGAACTCTTGAATTTTGGAGGATCCTTGAACACACCCTTTTTCAAAACAGGCATCCACATGGCCTCCCGTTCATCAACATGCTGCCAAAAGATCAAGGAGACAAACTTTTCACTGAGATACGACGTTCCTTACTTTCGAGCATCTTCATATGAGTTTTATACCCATATGTAGTATGAGGTGTATGAAAAAAGGCTTGTACCTTAGCTAAATGTGATTTGTAGTTGTAGGACGAGAACATTTGAAAGCATCATTGTGATCTTTTCGATTGCGAATCATAGTTACAATATAGTTACAAAATAGCGAGCACACTTTCCCAGACATCTTTCATTGTATGTTTGACCATTTAATACACACACCCCCACCAGCACCACCACCTCCCCATCCTGCTGTTCCTGATCTCCTCCATATTAATACAGCTTGTACAAGAATGTCATTCACTTTCTGTCAGCTGACTGATGGACAGTGCAGTCTAGCTGTTAAAGACACACAAAGGTTTCCATGTAAGTCTGAACTGCAGGGAAGAGTGAGACTTAGGAAAAATAAAAAATAAAAAGTTGTGTTCCTGCTGCTGCTGCACCATCCAGGCAGTCTTTTCCTGATGGAAGTGGGTATTTACAGGTTCCATTAAGGCTAACGGGGAGGAAGGTCTGGCTGTTGCTGCTGCAATTAGTCAAGTGCAGGATTTCTGCTTATGTATATCATTTTTATTAAAGGAATTCTCTTTTTTTCAGTTCAACTGGCCGTGCATATAATTCTGCATTACTGGAAGATGTAGACATAATAGAGAACCTACTATGTATGTGTATGGGTGTGTGCGTGTGCTCCTAAATGTATGTTACTGTGTGTGTTCAGTTTGTGTAACCCTCTTCTTCATCCCTGGTTCAGATTCTATACGGATCCCCTATGGTACCAAGCTTTCCCTGTACATGTCTAAGGATGCTGAAGGTACTTTAGGATTCTCCCACAACTTGTCCTCTGTCCATAAAAACACTCATAACGCTGCCCTACTAACATGCACGTGCACCCAGAGTGTATCACCCCTGTCTGCTCCGAAGCAGCATGTTGACTTGAACGTTGGTTGAATGTTAAGTGAACATTATGTCTTCCCCACCCCCACCCACCCCCCTTTCTGTCTGCCGACTAATTAAAGCATTAGCGCGAGGGGAGAATGAGAAGGGAGAAAGGAAGGTGCTAAGAGCTCAAAGTACAAAAGTGAGGCAGAGGTGATGAAGATAGAGAGAGTTATGAAATTACCGGGAAGGGGGGGAGGAAGAATAGGTATGCAGGGAGTGTGAGCGGAAAGGGAGGGGTTATGGAGGCTG